AATGAAATGACTCAAAGAGCTGGAAAAAGAAGAGCAGACCCACCCAAACCAGCAGAAGAAGGTGAAATTCAACAAGATCAAATCAGAACTAAACGAAATTGAAAACAGGGAACTATTTAAGAATTAATAAAACAAAAAGTTCTTGAAAAATAAACAAAATTGACTCACCATTTGGCTAAGCAAAGAAAGCAGAAAAGAGAAATCTCTAATAAGCCTCCATCAGGATAAAAAGGAGATATCACAACTGATTCCAAAGAGATACAAAACAATTTATGAATACACAAAAAACTCTATGGGCACAAACTGGAAAATGTGGAGGAAATGGACAAATTCTAGAACACACAGCCTCCCTAGGCTCAACCAGGAAGAAAGAGATTCCCTGAACAGACCAACTCAATAGCTGAAATTAGAACAGCAATAAAAATCTCCCAAAAAGAAAAGTCCCGTCCAGGATGGCTTCACACCTGAGATTTTACCACACTTACAAAGAAGAACTATACCTACTTGCAGAACTATCCACAACATCGAGAAGAACAAAAACCTCCCCGAAACTTTATGAAGCGATAATTACTGATACCAAACCAGAAAGGATGCAACCAAAAGAAAACTAGCGACCAATATCCCTAATGAACTATAGATCAAAATTTCAGCAAAATAAGCTAACGAATCCAGACACTTACAAAAAAAAATAATCCACCACGACCAAGTGGGCTTCATCCCAGGATGCAGGGTATGGTTCAATATTACGTAACCAAATGCAATTCACCACATAAACAGCAAGCAAAAACAAAGGCCACATGATTCTTTCAATGATGCAGAAAAAGCTTTGACAAATGTCACACACCCTTCATGATACGAACACTTAAGAAAATAGGCATAGAAGGACGATACCAAATGATACAAGCCATATATGACAGACCCAGAGCCGACATTATACTGAACGGGAAAAACTGAAATCATCCCACTTAGAACTTAACCAGCAAAGGCTTGCCACTATCCTTACAGCTCTTAGAAGGGCCTCTTTAGTTGATACTTTGGTCAGTCTGATGACTGCATGTCATGATGTCTTCCTGTTTGCGTTGAATCTCCCAGGAGTCCTCTGAGCTTCTTGAACTTGTATATCAAGATTTAGAGCAAGTCCTCGGAAATTTTCCTCCATTATATCTTCAAACAGCTTGTGCTACCCTTGAGTGTTGTCTTCTTCCCCTTCTGGTTAACCCTATGACCCTCACATTAGGTTTCTTCACATAATCCCACAGCAATTGTAGGCTTTGCTCTTTTCTCTTTTTTCTCTGCTCTATTTCTGTGACTGATTTATTTAATTGGAGGATGTTATCTTCACGCTCTGAGAGTCTTTCTTCTGTTTGATCTACCCTCTTCTTGAGACTTTCCACTGTATTTTGTAGTTCCTTGAATTGATTCTTCATTTCCAGGAGTTCGGTTACACTTTTCTTCATTGTGCCTATTTCTTTTCCCATATCCTGGAGGCTTTTTGTGGTTTCTTTGTGTTGGTTATTGAGTTGTTGTTGCAGCTGGGTGAGTGTTCTTATGATCCACATACGAAATTCCTCTTCTGTCATATTTGTTGCCTGATTTTGGTTGGTGTCCGTTTCTAGGGGGCTGGTGCTCCTCTTTGGGGGTGTGTTTTCCGTTTGGTTCTTCATGTTTCCTGAGTTCTTTCGCTGATTTCTTCCCATGTCGATCAGTTCTTGTTTCTTTCCTTAAGTTATTGTTTGGGTATTCACACACCTTGTTTAGTTTCTGAGGCGTTAGGTGGTGTCTTTGGGTGAAATTGGACCACTCCCTGTATATTGAGTCAGTGGGTGCCGTGGAAAGGCTGTGCAAGATGCCGTCCCTGTCAGTATGTGGCGTTTGCTTGGAGGAACACGCTATGCTGTTGATTTTGTGTCCTGTTATCAGCTCTTGTTCTTGGCGGAGCTGGGTTGGGTAAGCCTGCCCTCAGGCTGTTAGCAGGGGTCAAAGTTCTGTTCTCTGCTTCCAGGGAAAGCTGTCTGGGCGGGGCTGGAATGGTCCCACTCAGCCAGAAATTCTGGTTGTGGGGTTGGGGCTGTCTGAGACCCGCAGTCTGGAGCAAGCCTTGCTTCTTTCCACCCTCCCCAACTCCACAGCTACTCCTGGGCCTCTGCCAGCAGGCCAGACCACAAGCCACCAGGCCTCCCCGGACTGTGATGCCGGCGGGGGGGTTCCCTGCACAGGAACGCCACCTGGGTTGGGCGCACGGCCTCCTCCTGGGAGAAGGGTTGCCCTCTAGGATGCTGATCCGCCCCTGGAGGCAGTCACACCTCAGTAGGCTGTTCACCTATAACCCTTCTGTGCCCCAGGCAATGCTAGCCCTCGGTGTAGGGGATCTGGTCTGCAGGTCCGACCTCTGGGTCCCAGAGTTCAAACTGTATCCCCTCCAGGGAGTGGATTTCCGGTCCCAATTCACCCACAGGGAACCCAAGCTTGGTCTATGTCTCTCAGCCTCTGAGTTGGCACCGTTCTCCTGGGAACACCGTGCCAGCAGCACCTGGGAGGGCGGGCGGGTAGGGAGCCACAGTCTGAGTTCCCGAGTCAGCTGTAGGGTCCCAAAATGGAAGGTCCTGTTCCCTGGAGGTGCCTCTGGCTGGTGGCTGTATTGTCTCTCTGGGCAGCTGCGGGTAGGGTCTGCGGAGAGGAGGAGGAGGCCATATGGCGCTTGCCGCGAGGCTCGGGTCTGTGCACACGGAGGTGCCCGGAGGAAGTTGGGGACCTGGTGCCAATTCTGCCACAGTCTCACCGCTGGCTGGCGGCAGCGGTCTCTGGGCTGGTGTCCGCAGGTCTCTCCACCCGCTGGGGAGTCCACCAGCAGTCCCAAATGCAGGGGAGGGGAAAGAGCAAATCCACCTACCCTTGCCGCTGGTCTCCTGGCTGCTCCGGTGGTCTCAGCCTCCAGTTCTCCTCCGCAGCCTCCTCCCGTAGAGTCTCCCGGGGTCTCAGGTACCCCTCCTTCCGGCCCTTGTCCGCTGTGTGCTCGTCTTCTTGCTTCTTTCCTCTAATTTCTGCTAGAATCTGTCTTTTCTGCAGAGACACTCTGTCTGGCGGTGTTATTCGTCTGCCATCTTGCTCTGCCTCCTGATTTATTTCTGATGTAAACACTCCCACCATGGCCTATTTTAAGCTACTAATATAATGCCCTTAGATGCAAAGTTGGAAAGAGATGTGCATAATCAGTTTACATAACTAGCACAAACCGGCTCTAGCACACTGCTGATTTTGATGTTGACACTGTAGATGGATGTGGGAGACTTAAAAAATGGCTTGACTTTTTTTTGTTGTGTACATATCTGCCATCTTTTATCAGTCCTTCCCCCAAAATGCTCAGTGACTTTGCCCTTTGATGTCAGACATCACTGAAAGCAGTAGTGCAGACTTAACTCCAGGTGTCCTCAAACTACGACCCGCAGGCCACATGCGGATATTTTTGCCCGTATTTTTTTTTTTTTTACTTCACAATAAGATATGTGCAATGTGCATAGGAATTTGTTCACAGTTTTTTTTAAACTATAGTCCATCCCTCCAACGATCTGAGGGACAGTGAACTGGCCCCCTGTTTAAAAAGTTTGAGGACCCCTGCTTAACTCTCATGACACATTTGTATCTGGGATACTCAAAAGTTCTTTATGGGAATAAGCCAATTACTCTACTTCCCTTTATTATATGTAGAAAAAAATGCAGGCCACTCATATATGAAGCCTTCAAAGATGACTAAGATTATGAATGTAGGTTTTTTACTATGAGTCCTAATCCCACTGAAGCTTCTCAACTGACTGGGCGCTCTCTCTTACAGTTAGCAAGCTAGTTGTTATCACAATAGGACACCTACATGTGCTTCTCAAGAACCTTATGGTTTATGTCTAATGTGGAGGAGGCCTTCCCTCTGTGATATTCCATCATGTGGATTTATTTGCATGCCCAATGATAGCGGCACTTCTTTCCTGCACCAATGTTTGTCCTTTTCTTTGGCTAATTTCAGATGCTTCAAAGAAAAATGTGTCATGAACAACTACTTTGGAATTGGACTGGATGCTAAAATTTCTCTGGATTTCAACACCAGAAGAAATGAACACCCAGGACAATACAAGTAAGGAAAAGAAATTCCCCTCCCTACATGCAAACACACAATCACAATACACATATGTATTCCTACATTCCCTCTCAGACAAGCAACAGAAAGAGATGCTTTGGAAGGGAAATGCATTCGTGCCAAGACTAGCCTACTGGGACAGCTTGCTCCAAATGTTGGGCTGGTCTGTGATGACTGCACTGGCATCCTGAACTGCCTTCATAGTCTAGACCTGTGGATTGCTGTGTAAACACAGCTACCTGTGTTACTATTATTAAAAACAGATTACATATTGACTCCGTTCAGCAAATTGTTCATCTTTGTTCTGTCTTTCAGAACCTAACCAGATCTTAGGAGTGGCTTCAGATCTGCTTTTGCTTGGCAGGGCTGCAGAGCATCAAAGATCGCCCTGTTGACTCCTAGTGTACCTAACCTGGTTCCCCTGAACTCACTGATTTTACCCCATCCAGTGTTGGCCTGCTTGGCTCCTTCTGGTACTTTTGTACTATAGATAAGACCTAAGGCGGCCTCAGAGTTCTTGTGGTAAATTGGAACTACAAGTAAAAAGATGCATGCCACCCCCACCCTACCCTTCCCCCTGCCACTAGAACTTCTTTCTCAGCGTAGCCCTGGGCTGAGGAACAGGTACTTGGTGACTTTATCAGATATGTTATTTGCAAAACTTTTCTCCCAGTCTGTTACTTGTCTTTTCATCTTCTTAGTGGTATCCTTTGAAGTACAAAAGTTGAATTTTGCTGAAGTCCAATTGATCAATTTTTTTCTTTATAAACCACAATTTTGGTGCCATATCTAAGAAATCTTTCCCTAACTCAAGGGCTTAACAATTTGCTACTAAGTTTTTTTCTAAAATTTTTATTGTTTTAGCACTTACATTTAATTCTATGATCTACTTTGAGTTAACTTTTATGTATGATGTGAGGCAAGGATCTAAGTTTATCTTTTTTACATATGGATATTCAATTATCCCAGTACCATGTTTTACAAAAGCTATCCTTTCCCTAGTGAATTGTGTTGGTACCTTTGTTGAAAATCAATTTACCACAAATATAAGGGTTTATTTCTGGACTCTCAATTCCATTCCATTGATTTATGTGTCTATCCTATGCAAGTATCACACTTTCTTGATAACTTTAGCTTTATAGTAATTTTTGAAATTGGGAGATGAAAGTCTTTCAACTTTATTCTTTGTTTAGAATTGTTTTGGTTGTTCTAGATGTTTTGTATTTCCATATAATTAAATCCCTGTTTTTATGGATGAGGAAACTAAGGTGCCCAAAGAACTTATGGTTTTAAACAGAGTCTAAATAATTTTGTGCTAGACTTCTTACATTTCAAATCTTATTCCCTATGGTGGTTCATTTCCATGGTTCTACTTTACAAGTCCATAGTAAACTATATCCAGCCTTTCTAGTGATTGTATACTCCCCACCTGTATTTGTGAGAGATCCTATTGTCAGCATGACCCTGTCCTTCCCACCTCCACCCCAAGTTTCCTAATATCCTTACCTATCTCATATTTTTCTCCACTGGATCTTCTTCTAAAATCTCTCTACTAAGTTTAGTTCTGTTCTATGGTACTGAATTAAGTATTTAATATACAAGTCTGGTGTTTGGAAAAGCCCTCCAATTTACCAGAAAAGTTGCTGCTTCAAAAAAATTAGTCTAAGCATCAGATGTTTCAAATGAAATTGATTCCAAGTAGCTAAAATCTTGTGCTCCTGGAGTGACACTGCCAGGGTAGCTGGTTTGTATCAGCCAGCTATGCTCACAGCTTTTTATGAGCATTGCTTTCTGATTATGGCATGTTTCTTCCAAGTCTGGACCAATATCAGTAGCAAGGAGAAGTGGCAAATTTATCTACTGATACGATACTGAGGCTTCAGTTGGGTCCAGGAACCCATTTATGTAAGTATTTGCATGAGAATACCAGTTACACTATCCTAGCAGCCCCTAGGATAATGTAACTGGTATTGTGTCCTCTTGAAACCATTCAGCATGACCCCTCTCTATATAAGAAGGCACTTAAAAAAAAAGATGGTTTCCTTTCCTGTCTTCCCCATCCATTTATCTTTATATTATTCACTCTCAGACTATCTTTCTTTACCCTTATCTCCCCATAGTAGCCGCCTTAAGAACAAGATGTGGTATGGCCTTCTGGGAGGCAAGGAACTTCTGCAGCACTCTTACAGGAAACTGGAAGAACGTGTGTACCTGGAGGTTAGTGGAAAAGGGGGTGGCCCTTCCTGGGCATGGAGAAAGGGAATTTCATGGCCTTGGAAATCAACTTTTACCTATGTTCTTGGTTCTTCCTGAGCTTTAACTATGTGATCCTCACTCACACCTCACAGGAGGAAGGCATGGAGATAGATTTCCATTTTAGGGATAAGAAAATGATAGCATGAAGAAAAGACAGAGCTCCTTCCCCGTCTTTGTAAATGTCCCTTTATATCGGCACATGAAGATCTAGCCAACGAGAGCTACTCTTTTCTTTCAGTGTGATGGAGAAACCATCTCCTTGCCAAACCTACAAGGCATTGTAGTGCTCAACATTACTAGCTATGCTGGAGGCATCAACTTCTGGGGAAGCAACACAGCAACAACAGTGAGTGTGGAACAAATAACAGGGAGGGAAAAAGCCATGATCCTACTGAGGTCTCTCAGAAAGGAGTGTTGGGTTATCTGGATGGGGAAGTGGACATCTAGGGAAGAGGATATGGGCTGGAAACCTTTATTAGCAGCAGCCAAATGATCAGTTTCTTAGGCAACTACTATCTCAGAGCACAAAAATCAACCAAAGACTTCAAGATTAGGTCAACACTTAGGTGTTGCCTAGGCTTTGAATTTTCCACTCCTTAGGCCTGACAGATCCTTTAAAGGCTACCTAGGCCATGCTTTTTTATCCAAGGAATCTGTTAATAAAATCCTCTGGGAGATTGACCCATGACCTCTGAGCTCATCCAAGAAGGCCATGAGGCCAATAAAACTGGCCTTGAGGATTTATGATGCTGGATTGGACAAGGAGGGAACTGGCTAAAAGTTGTGATATCCAAGGGGGCTAAGAGTTGTTATCTCAGTATTCCTTTCCAGATTGGCTTCCTGACCTTATCTTTTCCCCCTTTAATAGTGCAGTTTTCCACTCTTCTTGAGCTAGAAAAATTCTTGCTAAGAGCCTTCAAAGTATACCTGCTTGTTATAGACAAAGTATGGTTTCTCAAGTGTGGGAAGTGTGACACAATTCTTTCTCCTCAGGAATATGAGGCTCCTGCAATAGATGATGGGAAGCTGGAGGTGGTGGCAATCTTTGGTTCTGTGCAGATGGCAATGTCCCGAATCATCAACCTGCATCATCATCGCATCGCCCAGGTAGGCAGGGGCTGGGTGGGCATGAGGAAGGTGCTGACTTTTTTGGCTGCAGCCCAGGCTGTGGAGGAGTCCCAAGAATTAACTGGCTATAAGAGTGCTGGAGTAGAGGGAGCAGGTTATCTAGTGGGCAGCAAGGTGTTTCCTGGAGTTAGAGACAGAGGTGGCAGGGACTGATGGAGAAAAAAGCCCATAGGAAACAGGTGTTTCTCCCTGGGATAATTTGATTCACATCCTTGCCAGTGATACTTCAGAAAGACATTCAGTCTTTAACTGTCAGATTATCAGATTGGTCTATAGTAGTTGCATCATTTTTCTCTCCCATTCTCCCTCATCTTCTCTGGCAGTGCCATGAGGTGATGATAACCATTGATGGTGAAGAAGGTATCCCAGTGCAAGTGGATGGGGAAGCCTGGGTTCAGAAGCCAGGTCTTATCAAGATTAGATACAAGAATGCTGTGCAGATGCTGACAAGAAATCGGGTAAGAGGGGAAAGGCTCATCATGGGCTCCTACATTGTCTGATCCATAGCTGTCACTTAAGTACTGAAAACTTCCAGTCAAGCGGAATTCCTCAAAGAGAGGTCTGCACGCCCCTCGCATCAGAGTCACCTGAGGTGCTGGTTATAAATGCACATTCCTGGGCCCCACACCAGATCCACTTAACAGAATGGGGATGAGTTCCCAGGAATCTGCATTTGTAAACAAGTGCCTCAAGACATTCTGATATATACTGACATTCGCAAACCACTATAAGGACACCTCCTTCTCCCACTACACAGAGAGCCAGAGGCCTCAGGTGGTTATAGGAAAATCTCCTTCAACAACGGATTCTGTGTTGAATATGGTCTTTAGGTTCCTGTAAGTTTCCTTAAAATTCTGCATTCATAAATGTCATCCATTTCAGCTAAAGCTTAGAAAGAAACCATTATTGATCAGATGTTCAGTGCTTGGAGGCTATCTTGCACTCTGACCTGTGAACAGTCCAAAGAAACAGCAATAAAGAGGGGTGAGGAAGTCCACTTAAAAACTGCCTACTTTTCTTGTGGTTTAGGGTTTTCTGAAAAAAAAGAAATAATAAAAAAAAAAAAACTGCCTACTTTGTGCTAGGCACTTCACATTTCTCTCCTGTAGGTCCTCCCAACAGTCCTATAAGATGGACACACTTATCCCCATTTTACAGATGAGGAAAATGAGGACCAGGGAAGTTAAATAATTTGCTAACAGTCACACAACTAGTAAATGATAGAAGCATGATTCAAAATTAAATTAGATATATTCTGATTTTAAACTACATCACAACATATTGCCGAGATTTGGCAAAGGAGAGAACATGAAAGGTGCTCCACTATTTTATCAGTCATGATGCCCTCATAAAGGAGCTTCTGGAAGGCAGGCATCTGTCTGATCCAAGCATGGTATCCCAAGACCCAGCATACGACAACAAAATCTAAAAGTGCCGAGTCCAAAAGAGACATTGAATAAAATGATGGATAGATGTATAAGTGTATAGATTGGTATATGGGGTCCTGGGGGCCCTCTTTCCCCTTTACCCACTTTACCTACACATTGACAAACATAAGACTCACAGACAGATCTGTCACATGCCCTCTTAAATACAGCAATCATTAGGATCTGCCACTGTATTTATTTCCAGGACTTTGAGAACTCAATGAAAATGTGGGAATGCAAGCATACTGAAATTCAAGCTTCCCCTCAACCCCAGCTGGACTCCCAGGAATCTCAACATAGCCTCTCTGATGAAGAGTATGCCCAGATACAGCATTTAGCTCAGCTTGCAGAAAATCTCATCAGCAGGTAAGATGAATGGCCTACATACAGGGCTGGGAATCCCAAGGACGGATATGGAGATGAAGCCAGTTTGTGTCTATTGGCTACTGGGGAGCCTGGCCTCAGAAAGGAGTTGTGCCTAGAGCTCTGACGACCCTGACAATCCTAGCAGGAAAAATTCTTTGTGCTCAGCAATAAGCCAGCTTGCACATTTCCCATTAGGCCGAGAGATGAATTTGGATTTCCTCCTGCTGCCCCTGATCCAACAGGACTAAGAATGTTTATCCTTTCCCTTAAATATCAGGAGGGCCTTGGAGTTCCTAAAGTCTGCTGCCCTCCTCTATTCTAGACTCCTACCCTCCCCAAGTTCCCAATATCTAAATTCAAGTGAGACAAGGATGGATGGATGGATAAAGGTAAATACCTAGAGAAGAGTAAAAGTGCTTTACAGCTTAGGTGGCTACCTAAAGAAGAGCAGAAACAACAGAAGGGGATAAGAAGTCCAAGTCAGGAATCCATGGCTTTCATTTCAGACCTTATCCCAACCCTCATCAGCACCCCAGGCCAGAAGTCCTTCAGAATTCTAATTCATCTATCTGCCCTTTATTTATTACAGACTTAATGACCTGAGCAAGGTCCACCAGCATGTGTCTGTCCTCATGGATTCTGTGAATGCCAGTGCTAACATCCTGAATGATGTATTTTATGGCCAAGACAGTGGCAATGAGGCAGGTGCAACTTCCTGTACTCCAATTAAGGTAAGGGGAGAAGGGACAGATGAAGGAAAGCAGTCAAACCACATAGGAAAAGCAATAGAAGGGAAGAAAGGGGAGCGAGAGGCTAAATGGAAAAACTGGGCAAATGATATGGCAGGAAACTGATGGATAGAGTAGACAGGAAGGCAGGCATCCCTTGACTTGTTACAGGTCCAAGTAGCTACTGGGGGAAATCCCCCAGCAGACATTATCAACCTGAGAGCTAGCCCTCTTCTTGGTAGCCATCCACCACACCAGCGTCAGGGGGAGAAATGGACAATGAATAGAAAGAAACTTGGCCTTGGCTCTTCCTCATACCAGGTGGATCCCTGTATAACCTGATAAAGTGACATCTGTCATTGGAACTGGAGCACCTGGGTGCCTTGCTTTCCCTCTGAAAGAAGAGTCTAGATCAGGAAGGACACTTAATATTAAATGTGCCATCCCATGACTTTATCCACTGCCAGAAGATTTAAGTAATGCTTTTAAAAAGTAACTTTAGTGCTAGGAGAAATACAATAGGGTCGGGGCTTGATCTTAGCTGGAAGAGGCCTGGAGCTCCAAGAAGAGAGATGGTAGGGCCTAGCTCCACCTGTCATGAGAAAGGTGGTTTTAGCCTAGGGACAAGAAGTAACTTCAAATTTACTCTGTGGTTCGCATATTTCCTATTTTCCCATACCCACTGTGACCAATCAATAATGCCAAAAGCCAACTTGTGCTGTGCCACTTCATAGGACACACCAATACAACTGTACCAGTAGTTGACAGCTGGCATTGGTTCTGATTGGTTGGTTCCTATGCTGTACTAGTTGTGCTATATTTTGAATATTACTTTTTCACCTATAGCCACATCCTACTAGCTTGCTCCTACCTTCCCATGGAGAAGCCAGCTGCATACTTACTAACCAACAACTCCTCTGTCTTTGTCCTTTCCCTTCCTTTCTTTTCTTTCCTTCTCCTCTCAGACTATAAGCAGAAATGATGCAGTAGATGTTACATTTAGTCTTAAAAGGCTCTATGATGACACCAAAGCTTTCCTGGATGAAAACTTGGTGAGTGCAGGGGTTGGAGAATGGGTGGGCAAAATATCCCATCTGAAGATGGTCACAGTCTGTGCTTGTTTCTAGAGCACTGGAGACATGTGGGAGCATTTTGGCCAGGTACTTGCCTGACAGTCCTACTGTGTCACCCAGGATTATTGTTGATTGTATCACTTCAAGGGTTATGCTAATCCATAGGGACTACCATACCCTTGAAAGAAAGTCTCAACCTCTCCTTTGGCAAATGTCTCCTGGGTCCAGACCAGACCAATCAAAAGTAGGGTGTCATCATACCTGATACAGCTGCAGTAGAAAAGAGTGAGCTCTTTTAAGCTGCTCTGTATCTCCCAAGTTTCTACATACCTCTTTCACCATGTGAGAAGGTGGTATGGAATAGTGGGAAAATTTGGGGAAATCCCAAATCCAAATCTGCCACTTACTAGCTTTATTAGTTTCCTAAGGCTGCCATAACAAAATACCAAGAACTGGTGAATCTAAACAACAGAAATGTACTATCTCACAGTTCTGGAAGCTAGAAGTCCAAAATCAAGGTGTCAGCAGGGCCATGCTCCCTCTGAAACCTGTAAAAGAATCCTTCCTTACCTCTTCCTAGCTTCTAGGGGTTCCTTGGCTTGTAAATGTATCACTTGAATCCTCTATCTTTACATGATGTTTTCCCTGTGTCTCTGTCTTCACATGGCCATCTTCTTATAAGGACACCAGTCATATTGGATTGGGGCCTATCCTATCCAGTATGACCTCAATTTAACAACTAATTATATCTGCAATGACCCTATTTCCAAATAAGGTCACATTCTGAGGTACTGGGGATTAGGTCCTCAATATATGTATGTATGTGTGTATATATATATATATTTTTTTTTTCTAAAGGGGGTACATAATCCAACCCATAATACTAGCTGTGTGAAGTAACTTCACCACTCTGGGTCTTAGTTTCCATATCTACAAAATATAAATTATAATCCCAATCTCTCCAGTTTGTTGTGAGGATTAAACAAACTATTATATACCTATCAGTGCCTAGCACATAGTAGCAGCTTGATAGATGGTAGCTTTTATTAGTGCTAGGGAGGATGGACTGAGGCTCCATTTGGGGGCTACAAGACTAGTTGCATGTTTCCCAGGATGCAAAGCCCACAGGCACACTTGGTGAATGTGCTCTAATGAAGTGACTAATCATGATGACCCTGCTTTGGGGATGACTGCTTAGGCACTGAGGCAGGTGTTGTGATTGCCTCTCATCTAATTAAGGCTTATTTGAAGAGGGGCTTCTTCAAAGTGTTGATATTGTAAGAAGATCATCCATTTCTTCTTTTCATTTGCACATTTAATTGGCACACAGCACAGGAGGCAGAGTGGCCAAGGCAATCAGGCCAGGCTGTCCCAGCATATGAGCCCCAAGCTAAAGTCTTTCAGCTTTAGACAACAGCAACACAAGTACCTTCTATATATAGGGAGAGTTCAATGGCCTTGCAGCAGGAAGTATGAGAGTTTAGTCTCTTGTTGCCACTCAGGCTTTCTTGAGGCCTGTGGCCTGAAAATTGGTTTGTGTCAGCCAACAATCCAGCTTGAGCACATACCACACTTGAGAAGGCTCCTACCCCATAGGACCTGGTGAGGACCCCCCATAATATACACATATCCAGATGAGGCCAGGAGGCAGACAGCAGCTAGGAATGATCATGTATTCCCAGAAAGGCTGTCACAGAGGTGGGATGGAAATAATGCTTGTTTCATTCGGTTGTTATTCTTCCCCTTGAAGAAGGACAGCAGTAAGATGCTGAGTGTTAGCAAAGGGATGTAGATTTATGATGAAGTGAATTCCATTCAGTAACTCTCACTTCCCTTATTTGGCACACATATGTCCTGTGCATCTGGGACACTCTGTGTTGTCCTAAATCATTAGTTGTAAAGAAAAGAGATTTGTCAGCACTGACTTATTTCTCCCTCAATATCCCATCTTGACTGACCATAACCTCATACCCCACTCCCTCCCATTCATCTGCCACCCATTTCTAATAGCCAGAAAGGCTCAACGTATGGCAGGAGCAGCAAGTGCCCATGTACAGTAAGAAGCCACCTAAGTGCCAGACTGAAAATAGAGCTCATGCCAGGGGGTAGAGATGAGGCCAGGTTAGGTGGCCTCAGCATGCATCTGTTCTCTCAGCTCATTACTTACTGGAACATGAATTATCTCACCTTTGTTGCTGGTCTAGAATTTGGTTCTTCTGAGTTGGAGATGGTCCCCAAAGAATCCATTTTTAAGTCTCCCATGGTCTGTACAGAGTTCATCTGATGGGTGCTAAGGGTTACTAAGGAACACTTAAGCTTTGTTTCCTGAACCTGTAACTGAAGCTGTCCAGAACTTGTTGCTTAGTTACTTAGTTAAGAGTGAGTAGCGAGGGACTAAATCACAGCCTGGGGAGGCAAGACCCACTTTTCCAGGAAGGGAAAAGTTGAGTCAGTCTCTCTCTAGCTCTCTCCTTGCTTCACAAAACAGCCTTTAAATTACAGTGTGTGTGTAATAAATATTCTCCCCAGAATCTGGCCACTCCATAGGTCCTTTCTGGAACAGTGTTGTATAGATGGCAGGCTATAGAGTTAAACAGATCTGGGCTCTGTCTAGCTATGTGATCTTGAGCACTAAACTTCTTTGAGTCTCTTTTCTCACCAGTGGAATGAGTACAACAGTGCCTTGTAAGGTATCGTAAGGTTATTGGGAAGACTGAATGAAATTATGTCTGCATAGTGCCTGGCATACATATGTGCTCAAAACTTGGTAGCTGTTATTTAGGGGTACACTGGGATGTCTCCAGGGATTTGAGATCAATCCTCAATCCTTATCTTGGACCCTAAGCTGTAGGGGTAGAACTCAATGTTAATTGACACTAGTCAGAAGGCCTCTCTGCTTGCCAAACTGTGAGCATGCTCAGCCCCAAGGAGAGACCCACTATCTGGTTGTTTTCTGTATCTCCCTATTGAGAAAGAAAAGAGCTGGCTATGGGCCAAAGGAAATACAAGTTGGCACCCTGTGGTCTCTTGGTCACTAGCAAGGACTGGGAGTAGGGGAGAGAGCAAGAGTCTACAAAGGTGCTAGGCATTGACGCTCTCTTTTTCCTGTCTATACCAGCTAAGAAATGTGAAGGATGAGGCCATACTACAAACCACCCTGGATGCCATCAATAAGGAGTTTGAAAAGCTATCTGAGATCTACTGGATGAATCCAATCCTTGTTCCAGAGGTGTGTGAGCTGGGGATTGGGAAATAAAGGGGAAGCAAGATTCTTAGTGCCTTACCTTCCAGTGTGGGCCAAGACACAGTGAATGATATAGAAGAGGGGTCTGATGGTGGCTTTCAGCTGCAGCTTTATGTAGTTTCCTCCCTCCCCTTATCTCCTCAACATAGGTTGACAGGAAAAGACAGAAAACACACTGAAAACTTAGGTGACCATGGGAAAATAACTAGAAAGAAGACCCAGAGAGGATCAAGAAAGAATAAGTTACCAAGACCAATAAAAAAAAAAAAAGAAAGAACGAATAAGCAACATTGTTTTTTTTTCTGTGTTGTTCTCTTGGCTACAAATTTCCCCTCCCTGCTCAGTACCTGCTGTCAGGACTGAACTTTATCTGGTCATACCAGTATGGCCATACCAGTTGTTTACAGCCAACATCTGTTCTAAATGGTTGGTGCCCAGGCTGTACTGGTGGTTAAATCTTTCAAATAGTACCTCTCCCTGCTATTTCCTGTCTCTTCCCCTCTGGGAGGTTAGTAGGCTCTCTTAGTGCCTTCCCCTACCAACCAGGTATGAGGCTTAAAAGAAAATAAAGCATGACAGCAGTGGCTACAATATAGCTATAGGGATGCTGTCATTTTTGAACAACTCTGTTTTCCTAAAGTTGAAAAATAGTTCCATTTCATAAGTCAAATGACTCAAAATGATGTCCACCTATCACTAGGTAAATTACTCCTTTTTGAAAATTCCCCACCATAGAATTATTCATTTCAACCTGTTGGAATCTATGGTACCCCTACTCATCATACCTGTTTTCTGGCTTCACTCACCAGTTATATGCATGTGAGCAAGCCATACAGGCATATCTGGACTAGTGCAACAATCAGGCTATCCTTTCAGAGAAAAAGGCACATACAAACTGAGGTATTAAAGGATTCAACAACTTTCTCATGTGCCTTTGCTGATGACCCAAGCACTTTCCAAGGCCCTTTGCAGCCCTCTGGGGAAGGAAAACATACTGTTAGGCAGAAAAGAAAGCAAATTCTTATTGCATCCCCTTCTATTATTGCCCAGTTCGGCTCTCTCACCAAGCTCCTGAGCTAGGCAAATGGGCTGGATATTGAGAGAAATGAGACAAACACAGTCCATGTCCTCAGGGCCCACTTGATATGTGAATCTGCCTGGCCTGGGCCATAATCTCTTTTCTGTGCTCCAGTATTTCCATAGAGATGAGGAAGTGAGGCTCTAAAGAAGGGCAGAGTGGATTGAAAAAAATCCAGGAAGATGTTGCTCATTCACTTGACACCAAACTTGCCACCTTAAGGCCACAGAAGATTCAGATCCACTTCAGTGGGGAAAAGCAGAATGAGAGTCAATTTTTAATTAGGCTTACAAGGCTTTGGCTGAGGGGAAAGTCCTGGGCCCTTCTTTGGGATTGCTTCTAAACTGTAATTCTAAAGGCTAATGTACATAGCCAGGATCAGAACCAGATGAAGAACAGGAAAATGAGGAGGATGGGTTTATACTCTTCTAACGGAGGGGATCAGATATATAAATAATCCTGAAAGGAAGATGATCCCAAAGCTTCTTGAAATGTGTTTGGCTGGACTTTCTGATAACAAAGTTAACCTCAAAATTATGTTTTATTGAGTCCAGTAGTAAAACAAGCACACTTTGACAGGAGTAAGAAACTGGGAGGCCAAGCTGGAATTACAGAGCCTGCATGGTCTGCACAGCAGAGACCCACATCCCACATTTATAATTAAGAACTATGTTTAGAGAAACTCTTTCCATTCCAGACAGGAAAGCAGGTGGCCTGGGAGGCAGGGCTTTTCATATAGGAAGGTACTGGGCCAAGGGGGTGAGTAGGAGCTCACCAAACTACCTGTCTGAAGGAAGGAATGTTTTTTCTAATTCATGCAGAGCCATATGAGCTAGCAGTGACCCTAGCGATTTCACCTTTCTAATCCCTACCCACATGACTTCAGGTGAAATATTTAACCTCTCTGAGCTTCTGCTTCCTCATTTCTCATATCAGTATGATAATAGCAACTTTGCAAGGTTGTCTTCAGGCTTATATGACATGAGCATTTCTTAATGCTATCAAGGCACCTGGTCTGAGTAGGCTCTTGGGAAAGATCAATTGCTTTCCTAGGGTATGTGACCAGTGACCACCTGGATAGAAAGCAGCCCTGCCTACTTTCTGCAGCCAGCCTTGTTCACCACCTTGGCAGGCCTCTGGGAATTATTTCTGAATGCTAGGCAACTAACATTTTGACCTTCCTCTTGCTGTGGTTTCCCAGGAAAAATCTTCATACACTGACAGTAGAAGCCTCAGGTTGAAAATTAAGTTCCCCAAATTGGGGAAGAAGCAACTAGAAGAGGAAGACAAGCCTAAATCAGGCCAAGGAGTCCAGGGTTTTATTTGTAAGTCTTCCCCACAGGCATAGGGGTCATGAAGATTTCCCCAGCAGCCTGGCTACTGCCCAGGGACCTGAAGCCCTCATTAGAAATGTTCACAGGCATGACGATGATGGAGGTCCCCTTAGCCAGCCTTAGCTAATGCCAAGCTAGAAAGTGATATGGTCACTGATGGGGCAGAACCTGTGTGGTCTCCATGATGTATACAGCTGAAAAGAAAAATGCAAACAGGCAGTGATTTTTTTGCTTGACCTATTCCTAAGGGTTAGGAAGAGGATATATGACCTATCTAAACACTTTTGTCCCTATCTGTTACAGTCAGTCCCCAGAAATGCAAAATTTCTATATGTTTCACTGTTTGAATTTTAGTTCCATCCTTTCCTGCCTCAGAATCTGGCCTAAGCATGATATCAGTGGGATTCAAAAGAAGGTTCTTTTAGAGTTGCCAGTTGTGTCAATTCTGATGTACACGGTTTCGCCTAAATTTGGGGCCTAGACAACCTGGAAGCTTGAGAGATATAGCAATAGTGATCATGGGGAAAAAGGTACAGGGGGTAGCAGTTTGTTTTTGAGGAACTAAGAATTTGCACAGATGCCAGGAGAGAATCTCTTGGACCAAGCTGTATTTTCTCAGGTACAGTCTAACTGGTTTGATTCCCTAAGAAACCATAGTGTTTTGAGAGTGTTTCTGAAGATTCAGATGGAGTTGATAGCTATTCCACAGATTATCAGGTTCTGAGAATTCATCCCATTTGTCTTTGGCTCACGTAGTGTCAGTTGGTTTTCTTGATGATTCTGAGATGGTTGGTACAATAGGAACAAACCAGTCTGTCTCCTAACAGACTCTTTGCTCTCTTTGGAGTTCACATATTTGAACATCTGGCAATGTGCTAACCTCATTATTTCTCTACTTGCTTTTTCTGAAGGCAGTTTGTGGCACCACAGAAATCGTGAAGATGAAGCGAAAGATGATCCTCCAAAACCATGAAGATCTCAATTATAGTCCTTGAAAGCTTGGAAGAACCCACAACATTTAGAATTCTACTTAAAAAAAAACTCTCAAAACCTCAATACAGGCTAGACTAAATCATTTCAGAACAAACATGAGCACCACCAAGAAAGACCCTCCAATTCTTTATGCTAATACATTTTTCCTGTACTCAACCAGGTCTCCTTAGAGGTTTACATTTTCTCATTGGCCAAAGATGCTTGTTCTGAGTTGTCTTGTTCAGTTCTCCTTCTCTTTATGCATCTTGAGCAACTACAGTATTTATTGTGATAAGCTCTTTATGAATGGCCTGGGATCTATAAAGGATTCAAGGGAGTTCACCACTTCAGGGAGTTTGGAAATGGTTTTCTCTGACTGGCAGAGAAACTGTTAATGCTAAGGAATGAAAGACAAAGGAAGATGAAGAGAAGGGGCAGGACACCCATGCTTGGTTGTGTATCTTTCCCAATCCCTGCCAACTGCAACTTGCAACTTCAGATTTCTTCCGGTTGGTTCATTAAAATGAGAACTAGATCCTGGGGGCTTGCCCATTTGCCTGTTAAACATAACCATGTGAAATCTTTTCTTGTATACATGGTAACCACTCTCTGCAAACCCTTTGTTTTTTTTCCATGTGTGCATGTATGTCTTTGCACATGTCCAGGTGGTGCTCTGGTGGCTGGGTGAGCCCATTGGTTGGAACTCACTCCTTCTGGCAACCATACAGGCTCCCTTCCTATTGCCTTGATGCTGGCCTGCATGCCTCCATGGAGTGTTTGCCTGAATTCTAGCTGGATTTTTAACTAAATGTTTTGCTGCTGTGCTGCAGTATAGAGTATGTATAGAGACAAAATGTGTATATATGTGTATGTGTGTGTGTGTGTGTGTGTGTGTGTGTGTATTTATTCAAGAACTGAAAATACAACAACATCTAAGTGATCCTATAATTTATTGTGCTAACCCAGGAATCCATCCCCACCCCCCATTACCCTCCACACACATATACCTCCACCAACTGCCCTAATTCTTGGTGGAGCTTCTAATCTTTTGGTGCATTTTCAGCATCTTAGAGGTGGCTGGGATCTATCAATAGCCCAGCTGATTCTGATGCCCCCTTAAAGTTCTGAGCCAGCCCACAAAAAGGGCAACAAAAACACCAATGCCCTAGAGAAGCGGGTTAAGCTGGCATGCTGCCTTTTTGCTCTATTTGTCCAAGACTCTCATCAGCAACTGCCCTAACCTGTGCTTTTCCCTTCCCCCAGTAAAAAGACTATATGGAGCAACCAGGCCTTGAGCTCTGTGACTTAGATACCTGAGCTAAGGACTGCCTGACAATCAAGTCACAGCCTAGGCCCTTCCCTACAAGCTCCATCTTGGCCTGCATCTTCTGGACAGGCTGTTGGGTCAGTCCCCAAATCAACTTCAAATCTCCCATCTGGCCCCATTCCCTTGAGTACAGGGGGCACTCCAAGTGACTAGAAAAAAACACAGGCCTGGAGAAATAGAGGCCAAAAGCCTCTGCTTCCCCCATGGTTCTTCTTCCAAATATCTCATGAAAACAAACTAGGCCTAAATTGCTCCAAATCTCAATTCAATTTGTTTTAATGCTGCTTGGGAAAGTCAGGTAAATTTAATCAAACCCTGGTGCCCAGAGAGGTTCTCTCTGGTTTGCCTTGCATCCCCAACCCACCTTCAATTCATACCTTTGGGTAAATGTCCCTTCCCACTTGTCAAGAGAAAACTGGCCTTTCCCCACTTCTCAAACTCAGTGTGCTTAATTACCTGAGTCAGTCCAATGGCTGTCCATAGAGGTGCACAATCCAGACTTTAAGCACTGGATCTCAAATCTGGAACTCCACCAGCATAACATACTTAAACCAGCCACCCATGCTCCACCTCTGCAGGGGTGAGGAGAAAAATACTAACAAGGGGATAGTCCCCAAATGTCTGATTGCCATGCCAAACAAACAAAAAAGTCCTAGCTCTACAACTAGAGAAGAAAGTCAATGGAAAAATCTGAAAGAATGCATTTACAACTTATTTAAGCATTTAAAACCTATTTAAGCATTCAAATGTCTTATTATATGTATTTGAGTGGGGAATGTGATGTTACTGTGTCTTTGGCTTTACCTGCGTCATTATTTCTTCCTAGGAGTAGGTATTAGATCAAATCAGCAAGGTCACATTGCAGCCTGACTTGTCTCCTCTATGGTTGTACACATTAACACCTGCACACACACTCAACAGAGTTGGGAACAAAGTTGCATTGTCCTCAGAAGAGCCTTTTACACAAGGGAAAATTTCTGAATGAGCAAATTTAAGGAAACAGAAGGAAATCCTGGGAAAGGTAGCTTTATCTTGTTAGTGACCAAGCAGGGCTATGTCTTGTAATTATTTTTATCAGTGATGATAGCAAACTGTAATAGGACTCCATCTATTGTGCTTACTTTGCTGCAGTGCTATAGGTCTTTGTATTCTGTAATGCTGCTGTTGCTCTGTTGTACCATCTGGATCCCCTTCCACCGACCCTGCCCCCTGAGCCTGAGTCAGAATGATATTGAATGAAACCACTAGATTTGGGGCTAGAGTCAGCTCATGGCATGGAGTTGATACACAGCAAGGCCAAGGAGATGTGACTTGCTAAATTGTTTAGTTGCCTCCTAAATTGCTAAGGTACCAGTAGCTTTCCAAAGGAAGACAGCTTGCCAAGCACCTGTTCTTGCATGTGCTCACTTGGAAACAAAGTAAGAAGTGGTCTCTCCTCTCAAGGGAGTTGCCTTAGCCCCTGGAAGCATAACCTCCTTTCAGGACTTCATTGTTAACTACTTGCAGTACTACAATTGCTTGGGTGGTAGGACCAGACACAACTAGATACCAAATATCCATCTCAATTATGTTCAGGCACCATTAAGGGCCAAAGCTCTGGGGTTCGGTTGAATTTTTGGTAGCAGTTACTGAGGAAGCAATTGAATGATCAATTCCTGACCAACTGCCACCAACTGCTTCTGGTGTCAATACCACAGAAGGTCAATAGCTATCAGTCCCCTCTCCACAAAGGTCCTGTGCTGTGTCCAACAGGGCAGGGGAAGAGTAAGAAAGAGATTTGCAACTTAATAAGTTAAAGGTTGGCCAGAAGAAGCCATTTGAGTCAACATCATCTTCCCTCAGGACACAAGTGGAAGAATTTTAGTTTCACAAGAGGTAGAAACTAATACCAAAGCAATCAAACCCATTAGCATCATCCTATAAGAAACCTTGATTGCCTATATGATTTGTGAAATTACATTTGTCTGCTAATCTGTAATCCATTGTTGTTTTCTGTTGTGTGATTTTTGTTTCCTCAGAGGCCCTTGCAAATAAGCAGCAGGGCCAGGGGCGGGTTGGGGGAGGAAGCTGGGATAGCCATAGGGTAACAGGAAAAAGCAGAAAGAAAAGGTCCACAAAGTGTGCCTATTCCTCTTCCCCCACAAAATGGAACACCAGTCCTCAAAGTTAATAAAATATTGCTTCTTAAAATATTTTAATAAATGGATAAGCATAATCAACAGCATTGCCTCATCATTTACCTTAGCATGGGGGGAGCTTAATGGTGGTGGAGATGGGTGCGGTGAGCTTGGGTGAATTTGGGTGGTCCTCCAAGCTCTAAACAAGCACATGCAGGTTGGGATAGCAGCAGAGGGAGGACAGCAGCAGCACAAGCCAAGAACGTGCAGCACGGTTGATCATAACACTAAAAGGGCTGCCACAAAGAGTTCTAAAACCTAGCTGCAAGTCAGGACAATCCTGTGGGGAAATATTAATACTTGCCACTGTAATTATTCTAGAAGCCAATTCCCTGTAGGATACAGATCTCAGTGAAATGACTTACCTACTGGAGAGGTGAAGTGAGATGGAGAAGTATAACCCAGACTGATAAATAGATGCATAAAGCACCTTAAAAATCTTCTGACAATGAAATCTGCTCCTGTAATACGTACATCACACACCCCTTCGTCTCCACCAGAAGGATTTGAGATGGGAAGGAATATCTGTTCAGATGCAAAATCGCTTAGGCCAGGTATCAAAAAATGGCTTAATTTCTGCCATATTAATAGTGATCCCAGGGGAGCCAGTTCTTAGTTACCTTTAATAGGCAGGCAACTGAGGCTGTACTAGACCAGGATTTCACAACATGCTACACTAGAGTGAAAACTCAGGTCTTCTAAGTCCTTGACTTACCAATACTAAAAACTGTCTTATTTAGAGACAAAACAATTGTGATCTTCAGGACCAGTCTTTCAGTCTACCCTCATAAAAACTACATTATTAGGCTTTATGAGTGGAAACAGCCCTGTTATTGAGGAACTACCACCAGGATTGGCCCTATAACCCATGTTAATCAGTTTGCACTGCATCCTATAGGCTAGTGAAGCACCATCATTTTTTAAAGAATTTAAATTTTTAAGTTGATTTTTTAAATAATCATACAATAAAATTGCCCTTTTATTTTGGTGTAGAGTTCAGCAAATTTTAACACATGTAGAGATTCATGTAACCACCACCACTATCAGGATACAGAAGAGTCTCCACTGCCCAATAAATCTCGTTCATATTATTCCTTTACAGTCATGCCTTAACCCTTCTCCTAACCATTGATCTGTTTTCATACCACAGCTTTGTCCTTTAAAGAATGTCATAGAATATATGACCTTTTGAGACAGGTTTCTTTAATTGGGTATAACGTCTTTTATATTCTTTCACATTGTCATGCGAACCAATAGTTTGTTCCTTTTTTATTGCCAAATAGTATTCCAATTATATGGATCCATCAGTTTCTTTACCCATTCACCCACAGAAGGAACTTTGAGGCGGTTTCCAGTTTCTTTGATCCATAGATGATTTACCAGTATGTTATTTTTAAGTATTTGGAGATTTTACTATTATTTCTTATTAATTTAATTCCATTGCGGTCATAAAACACAGTCTGTATGATTTCAAATCTTTTTCATCAGATAAGATTT